CATCACCAGCCTCTGCAGGGCAATATCCATAATACACTTCATGTTCAGCACAGACCCAGCCCTGCAGTGACTTTGTGCTCACCTCGACTGGAAGAACAGAATTCCCTCATACAAGCTTGGGGAAAAACAACAGAACTAATTTATGATCATCATTATTATTGCTATTATTGTAGCTATACAATATATTATTATTATTACTACTACTCTTACTATTACTACAGAGACCTCCTTTCCCTGTCAGTTCTATCATGGCAGTTTTAAGTATTTTCCTGTTACTCTACTCAGAGCTTTTACTAAAAATATCTATGGCCTTTAATGTTTATTAGGTTTAGCTGTTTAATTTAGCACAAATTTGACTGATTACAGGACAAACCATATTTTAATCTCAGGTTTACTTTCTTTTTTTTGTTCAGAGAATTCCACAATGATAAATAATAATGTTCCTATAGAGGTTGTTCTTGTACAGGACAATGTGAGTAAAATGGCTTTGTTTTGGCCTTTAACATTACGGATTTGGGTGCTTTAGATAAAAATAACTCCCACAGAAACAAACAGCACTTCCTGTTCTACATATAATTTTTAAAACTGTCAAACCCAGGAGATACAATAGATATACATCTTGGGTACCAATGCCTTGTTTCTGTCTTTAGGCAATTTTTCCGTTGTATTTACACTTTCCTGCGATACAACAAAACACCCTGTAAGCTACAAAGACATTTGTTTCCATAAATTTACCACGTTGCCCTAAAGACTTGTTCAAAAATTATTTCAGCATTATGCTGTAACAGTGATACGCCGATTCCCACATTCAGGAAAAAATGCTGTTAAAAGTAGAAGTAAGATCAAATCAACATTTCTCAGCAAATGCAGTTACAAATTACATTAAAGGGGAGTGTGTGTGTATATAAAAATAAAAAGTGCTTCTATATAATTCACAGCAACATACTTGGTGTGTCTTCCCTGATCAAGAAAACACTGTGAAACAGGAGCTCAAACAGAACTTCTTGAAGAATGTAATTCTTCAGGCATTAAACTTTTTCATAAGACAATCAGTGTTTTCACTTGAAAGCAAAGAGATCCAACTGCTCCCTGTGTGTCGATCAGGGATAAGGAATTCTAACAAAGCTAACAAAATCACACAAAAAAGCCTAGATGATTTCCAGATCAGACCTGTGACAAACTGAAAATGCCGTATTATTCCTTGCCTGTGGATGTCAGTGAAAATAGGAATGCCACATCCAAACTGCAGATCAGAGTACCAAACACACTTTGCTTTGGCTGGTTGTTTTTATTTATCTTGAGAGGTGCAGGTGGGGTGCATTTAACATACAGTGAATAATTTTTGGCTTGTGGTTAGGCGAGTCTTTTGAGACTTTATATACAATAAAGTACTCTGACTAAAATCTGGAAAATTACCTCTTAAGGCTCTAGCTGTACAGCATCAATAGAAATGTGGTGCCAGCTAATGGCTGCAATAACTGTCTTCATCCCTAGAGAATAATGGATGGAGAATATATCAATATGAGGAGTGGAAGGGCCAGAGAAACTGAGCAGGCACTAGTTATTGGACACAAAGATGATGCCACATGCATGATGTTATCTGTGATAATCTTTACTTAGGGCCCAGGGGGTGGGAAGGATATTCTTTACAGAGAAGAAAGTATCCATCAGGCCATATTCATAATCATCAATGTTCCACTAAGCAAGCATTTTTGGAGAAGGGTTGAGGGAGCACTGATGTAATAGAAATCAATGAAATTCAGCTTTTCTGCATCTATTGTTTAGAGAAAAGTAGGTGGAAAAAAAGCCTGTCCATCACTTTCATTTCTGATCCTTCAGTCATCTGCAACATTCAGAAAAAGGCTCTGAAAGGTATCTGAAGTGAACCACAATAAAACTCTTAACTACTTAAAAATCTATTTAAACCCACACCTTGAAATTCCCAACTACCAAAGGAAACACATTCTTGTTATAAGCATCGAATGGATTTTTTTAGTTTGGCCATGTGAGCCCTTAAAACAGTGCAAAATTACTGTTTGGTTTTATTGTCCCCCTGATGCAAGTCCTTGCTGAACAAAATGGAGTTGGTTCCAAGCACAAGCACAGTAGAGAAGGTAGGAAAGTTTTCGCCATCAGTTCTTTGCAGACTGATGCTATGCCTTCCCTTAGCAGACATTTAAAAATAAGAATACCACATAGCGTAGATTACAGGATATCCTGGTAATTTTTCTACAATATCTTTTCCCTTCAAGTTTAAGCACCCGTCTTAAATTCACACACCAAGACTGGAGAACCCGTACATTGAGTTTTTGTTACAAAAGGCACAAGTAAAATGTGCTGGCTCACTGCCACTCAAGTCAAATCAGCACATTTCCATCTAATCGCATGCAGGGGGGCACAAAAAAAGAAAAAAGAATACTACTATGTCAAATTTGCTCAAGAAAAATCAGGAAATGCAGGAGTTAAACATTCCAACAGCAGCACAAACTTGACCATGTTCTACATCCTGAATATTTTATGGTATATTTATTACAACAATATATTAAGCTACACATTCAACCACAAAAATAAAAACAGAAAGACAAATACTACTCATGTGCAACACAGCTGCATTAGCATTGCTGAGGAACACCGAACTTCAGAATTCCTGACACTGTTTTTAATTTTACATTCTGCATTTAGTTTTAATGTATAAAGAGCCTCTGCTTAATTATGTTTGCATATGAGGTTCTCTCCATGAGGTTCTAAGGCTCCCAACGCTGCTTAGTTGAGATGGATGGAAGATGTGATTTCCATATCACCACCAAATCTTCTTGAAAAAAGATTTTCTTTTTCTACACAGTGGCTTACACAGTAGCAGAAATGCCTTCAAAGAGCTAGTGATCCTCATTTAATATTTTTGACCTTTTATGCCATTGCTTCTGACCAAAAGCAATCAGATAACACAGCTGCAAATCTTTGTCATGATGAAAAATTTTCTGGGCAGCCAGTGACATTCTTATTGCCACTGTCCAACCGAGGCACATCAGGATGGGTCCAGACAGGACACCAGCTGACTGTCCCTCAGAGCAGGGCTGCTCCAGTAATGGAAACAAAGACGCCTATAAGACCTTTTAGCCAAGATTTCTTTTTAGGGATTTCTACTTTTCCAATTTACATTGACACTGCCCTTTCCTAAATTTTAAAAAAGTCACAGCAAAAGAGCCCAGTTGCTGGCCAGTTGGCTGACTATCAAAAATCTACACAGCTAACTAGGTAGCTCATTTACATCATTTCCAACACATCAGAGTGACTTAAGCCTTTAAAGATACACTCTTCGGTTGAAGAGATTTCAGCACATTTGAAATCTGAAAGCTTAGACAAAAGCTTTACTGCAGCCTTCAACATGCCAGAGCGTAACACCCACTTGATAGCATATAAACTATTAAGTGAAACAACTAAGCTTGAAAATCCTCAGCACAACTATTCCCCAGCACAGGCCCAAGAAACCCATTTATCTAGGAAAAAAGTACACGTCTTTTTGCCCAGTCACACCCCATCACTGGCCACAGGCAAGCTGGGGTGGCAGCAGGGGAAGGGCTGTGGTGGCAGCAGCTCCAGTGGGTCCCACAGCTTTCCAAAGTGCCCAGGACAAAATGAGGAGGGTCTTTAACCGAGCTTTGGAACCCCAGAACTAGAATAAAGTTTAAGAACGTCTCAGGTTCTCAAAACACAGCACAGATGGAGAAATATACAGTGAATAGTGAGATTTCAGGAGTTTGGATTTTTCAAAAACTTGGTAAATATCCCCAAAAATATCCTCTTTAAATTCCACCACCATTCCACAAAAATGCACTGCAAAATGAAAGTTATGGGTAGGGACAGGATATCCCTGCTCCTCAAAATACAGTTGAGTGGATTAATTTTTAAAAACAAATTGCAGTACCTTTTTTAAAAAAAAACAAGCAACAAACAATACCTGGAATTAAAAAAAGCACAAGAATTGTCAAAATCTACATTTAATTGAGGGTTTTTTTATTTTTTTATCTAAAATAAAGTAAGGCTTGTATTCTAATTCTCTTTGGTGGAATAAAAAGGAAGAGTGAGAAACAGGAGGACACAAGTTTTTTCCCCATTTGGCTGTTTGCTCTGAACCCCAGCAGATTCCCAGGATCTTACACCATGTATAGGAAGAAACTGACACCTATTGGCAACTTTAATATTACTGCATAAAGATGCTTTTCTTCAAGCTATTACAAGAAATAGCTTCTCTTAACTACATTTTGCTTTACATACACAGATAATACGAAAAGATAATTTACAACTTTACCAACTGTAACCGAAAATACAGCCAGGAAATTTCAGATTCTCCTTTTTAACAATAAAACTCTGATCCTTCGAAAGGAAATCCTGATCCCTCAGTAATCTACAGATTTTAAGAGGTGATTTTAACTGATGAACAGTAGCACTAGTCACTAACTGCTTGGAAAGGTAAGGTTTTAATGTTTTCTGGGGTAAATATTTTCTCAGTGTTTAGCATTACACAAACACACGCTGTCTTGGGAGCAGGTAAATGACATCCAGTGACAGAGCAGAGCACAGGCAGTAGAAAATAGACTGGTTTTCTCTACTAACATATCAATTACTGTGCTACAGATGTTGGGGCAGCAACACGCAAAACGAACAAACTAACTTTCCAGCTGCCTATGGATGTCAGTGTAGGTGCTCTTCATAACAATGAGAAATTAGTTACAGCAATAATAAATATGCAAAGGAGCCAAAGACTGACAGAGTAATAATTGTATTTTTTTTGAGGCAAAAAATTCCCTTTTCAAATGAAGTCAGAGACCTGCTTTAAGGATTTAGAAATAAAACTGTATTTTTTTTGAGGCAAAAAAATTCCCTTTCCAAATGAAGTCACAGAGACCTGCTTTAAGGATTTAGAAATAAAAACAAACAAAATCTGTTTTATCTTACTCCACCACTAGAGCAAAAAGATTGAACCCAATTATTGTACATACTTGTAACGAAGAATTTTTTGGTGAAAGTACAGCTGTCAAAGGCGGCAATTTTCTCTTGCAGGACTACAACAAGTATCCTGAAAACACAGAAATGGAAGGCGTACTTTAAACATTAAATGCATTGGTTTAAAGATTCAATATCTAAATGTAATTATTTCAAAAGCATCAATATAAATTCTACAGTGATAAACTGCCAGGTTACCAATACATGGCAGTTATTGAGGATTCTCTCTCATCCCAACCACATAACCTTCATTTCAGGAAGTACACAGATCTGATACAGAACAACACAGCATATTTATGATATACCTCCTGCAGTAAAAGCTCCATTAAAAAGAAAGAATGGAATTGCAAGGATCCTGAATTACTTTCAATGACTCAAATAACAATCAAATCAACAATCTGTAGAACACAAGCTAAATTTGAAATAATCCCATTGCCCACCTCATTGCAAATTTATTAAACCATCTTATTAAACCATGTTATTTACTAAAAGCTGCATTTTTTTCATACCAAGAAGATCAGCACCCAACTGAGAAGCAGAATTTGTGTCAATTAGCAAAATTACAGGTGTATATTTATGTATTCACTTGTACACATACACACTTTTATTGTAAAATATCTGTTCATTACTTGAAACAAAAAACAAAAGCCATGTGATAACTATGCATGAATCACCATCCTGTCTAAACAAACAAGAGGCCAAAGATGCAAATTTGCAAAGTGAAGCACCTCAAAAGCTTTATAACTAGGATACATCATCTCCTACACTGATGACTTCCCAAAACCAAGTTTTCAGACACTTGAAATGAAAGAATCACGTGGGAAGCCAATAAATAAACAGATAAAATCTACCAGCTCTCTGGAACATTTAGCAAAATGACATAATTAATTAAAAATCTGATTATTTTCTCATTAGGAAGAATGTGAGACACTATTTTTTATAATTAGCTGACAATATGGAGCATTATTAAATGCTGTTCTCATAGTTTTAATAGTAAAGATACAATGTGGCAAAAAATTAATTGCATCCTTCAATGATGAAAATACACACTCAATGCTTCATCTAAAAATTATGATAGCATATTACAGTATAGAATAATGTCTAAAAAGATGATGAATCACATCAGTCTTGACAAATATCCTCGGGTCTAAACGGTGATGCTTCTCTCCCATCAGGGTGAAAGTCAGCCATTAAATCATCTTTTTTTTCCTCCTGTTTTTAATTGTTTAGCCACAACAGCAGCCCCTTCTTATCCTATGAGAGCTTAGAATCTGTAAGACTGGTGAAAGACTACACTAAAATCAAAATACATACCTTACCCACATGCTTGCTGATGTTTTCAGATGTATAAATACATTTTGAGTCACGATTTCCACCTACAAAACTGTACTAATGCTCCTCCAACAGGCATGAGTTATGTGTCTGCTTCTTTATTTTGCTATTATTTTTACCAACACATTTGACAAATGACGTAGATTGCATCTGTAATTCCCAAGATGACTCCTGAAGTTTTTTTCAATAGACTGGTTTGACACCAGTCACTTTCTGCCTGGCTGATACACAAGCTGATTAAAGCAAGAAGCTCTGTTTCGTATCTCAGATTCTTTCAGGATGCTCAGGTTTATAACATCTCGTCCTAGGATTTTGTCACTGCTCTAATTATCAGTATGCCTCTATCTAGAAATGAGGAGAGGCACAAATCCTTGGAAGGAAGGTAGAAATCAATGGAAATTTTCAGCCAAAAGTCTTTCATACCCACAGATTTGCAGACCTAGACTGGGAAGCACACACACACTGCCAGAGCAAGCAGCTTGCTTGTCAAAAGAAGAGGGCAGGACACGTAACACAGCAAGGCAGATTCAGATGTTTAAGTCATACAAGAAATTAAGGTAGGGTTTCTTATTTGCTTGTAGCTCTCTCATGAAATAGATGCTTCTCCACCCCCTTCTCAATTTTTAAAAGTTATAAACTCTGCATATAAAATCAATATTAGTTTTGGACCAAACAGTAGTTTTAGTTAAGCGACATATCTTTCAATTGCTTAAACTGCAGGACAATAAACAAAAGAAAATGTATCAGTTCAAACTTCTTCCACAAGGCCTAAAAGCAAGTTAAGCAATGAAGAGTGAAAAGACTTTGAATGCACGTGCGAGTGTAAAGTATATATAGAAAATCTATGTATATTTGATGATAATATTTCCCAATCCTGTAGATTTTTGTTTTCGACTCTTTCAAGTTGTATTGTCTTTCTGCATAAATGAAACCTACAAGATGGATTATTCTACAATATAAATACATAAATAATAAACAGTATTCCCTTCTTCTGCAACTCAAGCTTTACTTTAAACTCAAGTTTTGGACTCTGTTAGTCTATAGTACGCTTAACGCACCATTAGCACTGCACTTGGCCACATTTAATGTATTTTCAATCTGAAATAGTGAGCTTTCCTTGGATAATAACAGAATCTGATACGTTCCAGAAAAGCAGCTACCCTGGATACAGCCACACAGCTTTGAAGTAGCTTTTCCATTTTTACCACTTAGGAAAAGAAACATTAGCACCTGGAAAGACTTTTTAGTTGGGAGAGACTTTGAATGATGATTTGCCTTTTGACTGTTTTTACAATTGGATTTTTCTTCTGCTAGGAGGCCAGGCTGGAAAGATTTACTATCATCACACTGTACACAAGAGAACTTTAAATTTTTCAAGGGACAGTTGCACAGATAAGTACTGAACTCCTTCTGACAGCTTTTAAAGGAACAGTGACCTATTCATAGCACATAACTTTGACTCAACCACTTCAGGGAAATTCTTTTTTGATATAACAATCATACCCACATCCTACAGTAGGAAGATTGACAGGGATTAAAAAAAAAACAAACCACAAAACAATACCATCTTTTACTTCTTTAAATATTCATACTATCAAGATATTCTCATTATTACATTAGTTGTGGTATTAAAGGTGTTTGTTCAGTAGTACTACTTGTGATGTTGTATACTACTTATAACGTAGTCACTAATGTTCATATTTTGATGGTACAATGACAGACAAATGTCTGTTTAACAAAATCTTCGTGGCTTCTAGGGTTAGGTTTTTTATATCCTTTTTTCCCCTCCAATCTCCAATACCACTAAGTTCCCTTAGTTGCATGAGTTGATATTCTTCAAATGCACACCCATATTCTCCTTCATTCATGAATCGTACTCCACGACTTCCATAAGGTACCTCAAGACATACAACAACCAGTAACAGTAGGGACTGGGTGGGAGGAAGCATCAAAGCAAGCAGCACGATCATGGACTTAGACCAACATCACTACATCCAATTCTCACATCAGGAGAGCCAAGGGATCATCAATACCCTCATGTAGGGATCTTGGGTTTTTTCTTCTGTCTTAAAAAGATGCAATAAAGTACAAGAGTGTTTGGTTTTGTGTGGCTTGGAGAGATGAAGATCTGAAGTTAATTCAGAAAACTCTCAATTCTATGGAAACCAGGTATTTTCAACCTGATGCTCAGCCTTCCAAACCATTTGCTCTCAGAAATTAGGTGACATTATCCCAGCTAAAAGATGCTGCTTTGTTATTTGACTCACAGGAACGTTATTTCCTGTAAACCACGGAGTGCACACAAGGAATTTTTTGGATGTGCAGGAAGGCAATATATCTGCTGGAACAATAGAAAACAAAGAAAAGAAACGAACTCTAGTGCTCTATACTGTTTAAACTCTCGATGATCCCATTTGTGCAGCTGTAGGTGGACGACAGAGGATTCCAACGATTCCTGCTCACCCTCATCACAACTGAAAAAAGCTTAAATGATTTCAGATGCAAAATGTTTTGAGCTTCTTAAATGAAAGTCATTGGAGAAGCATATTGTCGTACTCAAACTGAAATATTTCTTGAGAAACAGAGAACCAAAGCTATGCTTACAGGAAGACAAAATAATAATCAGGTAGCACATACACCAGAAATTGTATTCATTACTGAAGTTTTACATGCCCTAACACAGCAAGAACGTAAACACCCTTACCTTTTATTGCAATGCAGATCATAAATAGGAGTTTTGAACTGTATTGACTTGACCATCTCTCCTGTTCGCAAAGAATAAAGGTCCACACAACAGTAAGGTGGGCTTGTGCTAAAATGAATAAAAAAAGATTTTAATGCAAAGAAGGATTTCTTGCAAAATTATTTTTAAATTATTTCAGCCTCCCTCTTTTATTTAGCACACTAAATGGAAGATCCAGCATTATGAGTAGAATGCTGGAGAACAAAAAGGTCAACATAAGCTTTCTACACTAAGAGAAGGTGTGATTAAAACTGAATTATGATATCCACAATGGTCAAGAACCTGTATTGTGCAAATAATGATTAAGCACTTACTTCTTCACAAGTAAGACTCTGGAACATCAGATGTAAGCAGCAAAATACAAGCTGTTTGATAGGCATGAAGTTTAAGACTACACTCTAGTTCTTTACAAAATATCCCACACAGAAACGCTTTCCTAAAGGGAATACTTGCTTCACTCTATGCAACAGCTGAACCATTTGACTTGATTTGATAGAGACACTTTACACAGAATTTACATTACATCTCTGATGGACTTTTGTTTGAACTATATAGATCTTTTCAACTGCTTTGTGTCACTTTTATCATTTTAATATAAATAAAACTCTAAGGCCATTTCTTAATAAAAAGGCTTGCTTTCTTTTGAGCAGGAGAAAGTGCTGAGTGTTCCGATAGGGTTGAGGAAGGTAGTGGTGGAAACCATTTTACAAGCTGAGGAGAGGCTTTGATGTGGCAGTTCTTTTCCATAACACCTTTTTTCCCCTCCAAGAACACATTAAAATGTTGGCTACTTCTCGGTCAGCGAATATGAAGCAGCACAAATTGCCAGCTGTACAAACATATACTAAGTATTGGTAAAGGAGGGTGTTTCCCCCTGCCCATATCTGTTTTATTTTACAGAGTTTAACACAATTCCTGACACAACACTTGCTTGTCTTTTGGATCTGCTCAAGCTGCTCAAGAATTTTCTGGAGAACCAGAGTACAAATACCAACTGTTTATCTCAAATGTCTCAAGATAATAAAATGGTACATACAATCAGTAATCAGCAGAGAAACAATATATGCACAGAAAGACAACTGTCAAAAAAATTAATAGAAAGAAGAAGTTTTGACATTTTGCCTACTGAAATTCTTCCCAAAATACACATTTTTCTAGGCACATACCTAGGCTAATAACTAGAGGGTGCTATTCATTACTTTTAAGCACTTCAAAGGCCCTTCAAAACCACTTTTAAAACAGTGAGACCCAAGTCTAGTTACTTTACATTTGAAGCTCATTGCTGTTAGAAAATGCAGAAAACCACAGCGAGGTCTACGTACAAACTTTTTTTTTTATTTAAGCACATTTATTACCTAGAGGAAATTTTTATTTTGATAAAAGGGCACATAGACTCTTATTTCAAAACAGAAATCACAGAAGTCGATATAGCTAAAATTATATTAGCATAATCGATGCTGATTACTATTTCCATACAAGGCTGCGTTGAACAGTTCCATTTTGACTTGACATACAGCTAATTACACGATCACAACTCAAGAGGACGTACCTTCTAATACCTATTGCACCAACAAAATTCTGGGTAATAATCCTGTCACTCAAATGAGTAATTAAGATGATGTCATACCTTTCTCTTGGCCAATCATGGTAAGACCATTCTACCAATGCTTTTAGCCACACTGGCTAAAAAACAGTAATTTGAGTTCAAGTGCTAATAACAAAGTAGTAGTATACACAAGGTTGGAAGGACTCAAACTCTACCCAGCTCCAATTCAGAAGTCCTCTTTCAAAACGTTATCTTTCTTTTAATTCCATGGCAAACTGCAATCCGCTCAGAAATTAATATGCATGTGTGGGGTTTTTTGTTACTTTCTGAAATAAATACAAAGACAAAGTCAAATACATTTGAGGATGCAACTGATCAGCAGAAACAAATGGCAACAGCCAGAAAAAGTCCCACTTGTCCTTTCTTGTTCCACACAATGCTTGTGTTCCCGGCAGCACAGACCCTCAGCGTTATCACGAGTCTTCAGGTAGCCCCATTTTTCGGTTAAGTGCTTTATCCACCAACTATGACAGAAAAGGGTGGAAGCACAAGCGCTTGCTCTTTCTTTGGCAATCTTTTCAAAGGTGGAAAGGTAAAAAAAAAAAAGAAAAGCACAAACCAAAACCAAAAACTTCAATCACTAGAAAAGACTTAAAGACTTCTCTCTCTACCATTTCCTCTGGTTATTTCAGTTCTTCTCCCCGTTCAGAGTAACGGCTGTTACAAGTCTCATTTGCTACTGAGCACTCTCAATTCACGAGGCACAACATTTATTAAGTTACTGTTATTTAAATTTATAAACTCTACAGTAAAAGCTGTGTACCTAAAAGAGGAATGAGACAATGCTGAGATCCACACTGTCAAGTTCTTTTTTGATCAGGCCTCAGTAACAACTCAATAATTCGATAATATCCTTTCAACTTGTTGCAGATTTAAAAAAAAAAAAAAATCAAGAATTTTAATTTCATTGTTCAATAGAACCCCATCCAACAAGGACTCTCAAACACTGCAAAATCTCATTTCTTTTCTAAAGACGTTCTTTCTCAACCATCCTAAAAGTATGAGCTTTTTGAATGGTCTTTCTTTTCCCTCCTTCCTCAGCTAGCAGCAAGATCAATTCTTCCAGAACAGGAGAATGAGCATTATAGACACAGATCTAAGGATTCATTTCTCTGTCATAGCACTTAAAGACCAGTAAGAGTACCTTGATTAGCCTACACTACTCACAAGCAGTAATAAGAGCCATCCTTCTCTCCTCCATTTCAGTGCTGTTAAAAGCTCAGGTTCAGTGGTTCTGTGCACTTTCCTTTCCCAGTCTGATGTGCAGTGGATTCTATATTGACCCATTTTAGTGTAGGAAATCAACAGAAAAATAACACTTTGTCCTTTCTTTCTCCTCTAGTGGGAATTTTCCCCCAGGTTAATTCACCAGAAGGGCTCAGTGAAAGGTCTGACAAGCATGGAAGCAAGAAAGGAAGTAGAGGCACATGAACTGAGCAATAAAAGATGCACAATAGGGCTGGAAAGGCTAGAACTGGCTTGACATCACAGAGCTGCAGCACAACACAGCTTTTTCTGACACTTTATGACCTCCACTGAACTACTAATTCCCAATCTTCCTGAAACAGGGATTCAGGGTTTTCTATGGCCCACACTGCAGAGGAGTCTGACTCAATTACAGAGTTCCCTTTGAATTCTTACAAGTTAAAAATCTAGATTGAGTCCTGGATATAAAAACCTAGACACCCCCACTCCTTTTAACTCATTATTTAAAAAGAATTTGAACCCAAACCCACCAAGTTAACCTGTTTCAGGGACAGTGTAATGAACATTCATTTCATCAGAAGATCATCCAGACACTGTAAGTAAATGTGTCTGAAATGTATTAGTTGATGGCCTGTCCCAGGCTAAGCTAACAAACTACCATCCTTTGGGAGAAAATAAAACCAGGAGACTTCTGGCTAAGAAGCTTTTCTCCTGATAACTTGAAGGTTCATACGAGCCTCATGGATGGGAAGGGCTCCGATCGTATTTCAGTGTACCAGTGAGGATTATGGAAAGGGAAGAGATTAAGACAGGAATGTGAAAACACTGGTTTTTACAGTTTGGTGATAATATTAAGTCTGTCACAAATAAAATTCTTGCAAATCACTCCCAAAGATTATTGACAAATTTTTGTAATGTATTCTGATTGTTAAATAGCTGCCTGATGCAGAGATATCAACAACTGCTTTAAAGGTAATGGGCATAAATTCACCAATTACTTCAAAATGCCAGCATTAATAAATATCCAAATACAATCGGGTTCTTGTATCGTCTTCTGTTTGTAGCAGTGCAGGGACAGAAGAAAAATAACAGATGCCTTGTACAGCTGGCGCTCGACTACATCTGTGCTTATACATCCCGACATAACTATCACCTCTTCACAGCTTTGCTAGCTATGAGTCACACCATTTATAAAGGCTCTGTGTAAAATGTTTGCATACAGAGACAAACAGACTGTACCAAACACACACACTTCTTACACAAGGAAAAAAAAAAGGAGAAGACTGACGGAATCAACATGAGACCCAAATTTTCTGTGCCTAGAAAGGTTTTACTCTGCCTGCTCACAAGTGTTGACTTTGCTCCCTGCTGCCTCTCCCCACTCTGCCATGTGATGAACAACATCCCACTCAGAGAATGGGCATCAATTACAGAACAGCCTCATGAAAAAAAAGAAAATCAAAGTTTTAGGGGTGAAAACCTGAAATAGAGCTTTTGCTGAAAAAGCTGACCCTGGTGGTCTCTGACTGTTTCTAAAAAATATAATTATTAGTGTACGTGTTACTGCACTGCATGTTTCCAGACTTACCTTCCATTCCACTACAGCCAGACTAGTACCACTCTTGGTTATTCTCATGTATTCCTCTCGTGATGCTTTATTTGTTTGCATGCAATTCACAATAATCTTTTTTTTCAAGCCCAGCAGACCCAACATAGAAAACAGCCTTATTTTTAATTACTTTTGGTGCCTTTAAGAAGAGGTAAAAATATTAAAACTTATACTAAGATCATGCTCAAAAAAACTCCAATAGTACAATAAACTCTTACTAGGCCCAGCTTTAACAACTTGTGGCATTAAAAAGAAATAAAAATTAAAATAACAAAAAAGACTAGATGTTTCTGTAAATATTAAGTTGATGGGTGCCTTAAATGGAATATAGCTTCAAAACTTATTTTACAAGAGATAGCTTATTTCATTGTCAGGTCAGAAGGGACCATGACATCACCTAGACTTCCTGTCTAATGCAGGCCATTAAGTTTCACCTAGATTTCTATTCTTATACCCAGCTCAAATGCTTTAAAAGCAGTTCAGCCCTGGCACTGAGCAGCATGTCACATACAGAAAACAGGAGAGAGAAAAGTGACAGCAAATCCAAGGAACTGACTGGGCAAGGTCTGCTCAAATAATCTGTACAGCAAGCTACTCCAGAAAGGTTTTGAAAAATTACTACTCTACAACACATCGGATCTACCAATC